AAAAATCCATCATGACTAAGGCCGAGAGGCTGGATGGTCGCATGTAACGACCACCCCTTTGAGGGTGGACATGTGCTCGAAGACAAAAAAATCCATCATGACTAAGGCCGAGAGGCTGGATGGTCGAATGTAACGACCACCCCTTTGAGGGTGGACATGTGCTCGAAGACAAAAAATCCATCATGATTAAAAATCCATCATGATTAAGGCCGAGAGGCTGGATGGTCGCATGTAACGACAACTTCTTTGAGGGTGGACATGTGCTCGAAGGCAAATATCCATCACGACTAAAGTCGAGAGGCTGGATGGTCGCATGTAACGACCACTCCCTTGAGGATGGACATGTGATAAGAGGCATTTAAAGTCATTGGGATTCATTAATTCATCAGGATTAATCAAGTGGATGAATAGTGTGATTTCGTCAATCGGTGAAAACGACATTGACACATAGCGATAGTGCAGGCTTGTCGATAATGAAAACAACATATAAAGTGATACATCGACAAGTGCATAATCAAGAAATAACGAGAAAAATTAACAAACTTCAACAAGAACAATATTCATTTAACGAGAAAGGAGTACAAAGTTCAACAAAAATTAAAATTACAACTTCACGATTCGGCATTATTCTGGTCAACATTGGCATCGGAGTTATTAGGGGCTTGTTCTGGCGGCGGCTCGAGATGCTGCTGCACTGGCTCAATCGGCTGGCTTGAGTTAGAGGTCGACCCAGTCCCATCGGTAGACTGATTTTGACGAGCGAGTGGGGGAATATATTCGTCAGGGAGCTTGAAAGTACGCCTCAGAAGGTCATCTTGATTCACGACAAGCTCGAGCAGGCCTGACCACCAGTCGTGGTCGCCGGGTAGATCGAGGGCACTTTGATAGCCGACTGGAGCCTTGGGCATAGCATCCCAGATGGTTTCCATGTTAAACTCCTCGAAATCGTCCTCGGCTATTTGGACCCCCGCTTGTTGCATTATGGCCCCAAAGCAATGGGTGTCGTAATCCTGCACGTCCTTCAGATACTGTGGGGACTGCTTGAAGGCAGCCACCACTTGTTCGCGGTAGCTCTGCAGGAAGCGCTGACCAGCGGTCGTGTGAAAGACCATTCTCCGCACCCGGAGGGTAGCCAATATTATTCCCGGTCTTGCCTGAGCATCAGTCATATCACGGACAGTCTCTTTGGATGAATCGCTGAGTCGGCTCATCTGTCGATGACCCTCGGGATGCACAGCCAAAGCATGATTATGAAATCCCTTCTCGTCTTCTAAAGGAAGCCAGATACTCCATTTTTTGGAATTTGCTTCAAAATTGACTTTTATCAGAAAAGGGCAGCCAGTAAATTTAGTCTTCGAACGTCTCAAAACAGCATTCACAAGATTTCCTAGTTTTCCTGCCTCGCCTCTGTAACGTTCCCCTCGATGACACTTCAACGTCCGAACCATCCATCTTTTTCGTGTCTCGAGATGACCAATTCGAAATTCCATATCATTGCAATGTCTTTTGCCCATTCAATAGCTTCCTCATGACTATCAAATAGCTCATTTGTAGCAAAACAAGATCGGTAATCTTCGCCGTCTCCTCCAAATTCTTCGAGTGGCACCTGCAAATAATAATAGTAATTAATTTGTAATTTATTGTATAATCAATTCAAACTTCTAACGTTATATGAATAAATTTTACGTTATAAGATAATACATTCATATATATTAATAATTTATACTAATATAAATTTTTCCTATTACATAATTTTATACTATTAATTTAGTACTAACTACTAATATTAGTTTTTTATAAATACTTTCTATTATATATACTAAAAAAATTAATATATTACTATATAACTTTTTTTATATATTATTATATATTAATATCACTTTTTTATATTATAATAGTAATTACTAATATAATTTTTTTATATTAGTCCATGAATTTTTAATATATATTATTATATATTAATAATAATTTTATATTATAATTTTTTTATAATAATAATTTTATTATAT